ACTATAATACAGTAGTGTTTAAATTCTACTTTGTGTGCTTTACTTATAGTGTAACAACCTGACAGGTTATTATAACCTCTGTCAATGTGTTGGGTGCTTCAGACTGTTTAGAAGGAACAACTCTAAGTCCATAAATCGAAAAAATGGAAAAGAAAAACTGAGTAAAGGCTACCGCACACCAAACACACAGCATCACGCCACTCAACTGTCAAATATTCAAAACCGTTGCTTTTTATGAAGGTGCTTGATGACTTACAAATGCCATTTTTAAATGTACAGCGGGAAAGGCAGAAACACCTTTAAGATAAACAGTCAAACGCTAACGGTCCATTTCCTCAGTTAACATTACTAGCCTAGTCATATTGTTAGCTTAATGCATAATTTATGAAGAGATGAAGATTAACAGTGATAAAATTAGTAAATGATGTTGACAGTTTTATTCCATTAAATCTATATGAGTAGAGTGCAAAATGACCTTGAGCTTGATGTTCATCAGTGCTGTCACTGTGACTTATTCTGTGGTATAGCTGCGCTTTATAATATCTGCTAAACGATGTGATGAGATGCAAAATAGCTGTGTAGTTAACTTTAACAATACTGCGATATGTTCCCTTTGGCGTAGCTCTAAAAGAAGAAAACAGAACAGAATCATGTCAAGTGTGTAAGATATTCTTACAAGTCGTAGCGGTACTCAGAAAATGAGTTCACGTTATTAATGCGAACTTAAATGTCAGCTGAAACGGTGATATTTTCCAAAACACTGTGACTTTAAATTTGATTAGTATTGCCCAGCACTACTCAATCCAGGATTATAATTAGTATATTATATTCAATAAGCACTTAAACCTTTGAAAATGATGACAGCCTTTTCTCTGTCACATTATACATTTTGCTAGGTAATGAGTCAGAGGACTTAAACTTACATTTCTGTTTTTTTTGTTGATAGCAACCCACTTTGTCTATAAACAGTAAAGCCATAGAGAATGACAACAGAGAAAAATCTTCTTATACGGAACAGAAAATGGTCCTGCAACCTCGACTTTTACCATGTCCAAAAAAAGTGGGCTTTCCCCTTTAAACTGAAAGGAAATCCAGGTAAAGTATACTGCATTTTCAACAGCACATTGTGGAACATGCCAAATAGCTTACAAGGATCTTTAAAAAGGGCCCAGTTCATACATTTTGCTTGCATTTTATTTGCATTTTATTTTTTCCCCCCTGAGGTCAACTTATGACGCTTGTGTGGCTTTATGCACCAAAAACAGACATAATCCATTTTTAATTTACCTTTTTCCAACCTCTCTTTATCTCTTCAAATTAAACAGGTAAATGACCTCTGCTCTGACTAGCAGGGCCAGCATTGCACCTCACTCAAAAAAAGCAGTCCAGACTGAAAGTGTCTTTGTAAGTTCAACATTAATGGGTGGGACTCAACTGCTGTATGTGGACATAGGAATAGGCTGATATATGTAAATGCATTGGTTTTTGTGACATCACAAAAACAATGAACTTAGTTTCCATGTTCAGACTGGATGGACAGGGAGTGAATGATACATTCTGATCCTTTGATGTTTACATATTACACCAAACTCTCATTCTGTGAAAAGTGAGGAAAATTTATTTTCCATGTCATGAGCCCTTTAGATGAGACCCTTATCTTTAGTTCCTAAGGTTGTCAAAGAACTGAGTGGAGCTGTTTCTGGCAATTTTAAGTAGTTTACTTGTGTAATCTGTCATCACTGCAATATCCAGCCTTATTCTCAAACCTTTTCCTAGCAACAAGATTTATATGAGGTGATCCAGAAAATCAACAGATAAGTAGAAATAACACTGAGTCACAGTCTCGAGAGAGATAAGGCTCATTTAACATCAACATGATCAATTAGAAGCACAGCCCTATCTCTAAATGGGATTTAATCTGCCCTTCGAGACAAAAAGAAAATGAGGTGCTTGATCACCACGCTTATGAACAGCTATCCACAAAAGTGATTAGACACTAAACAGGAACCCGCCTTCGGTGTGAATGAGCTTCACATACCATGATTATACCAAGTATTAAGAGTGCTGATGTGAAAAAACAAGTTTCCCTATCCATATTCACATTTAGTGATACTGAAAGTACAGCTACTTCTGATGACCCTTGCACTACTTAAAGGGATGGTTCAACCAAAAATCAATTTGACACTTACCCTAGAAGTAGTCGATGGGCCTAGTTTATGCCACAATATGAGCCTAAGTCTAGGGCTGGGCAATATGACAATATATGTTGCTATCATGATAAATTATGTCACAATACAACATGACATGCTTTTCTGAACATATCATGCATATCATCAGTACTTGTGGAACACTGACCTGACATGTTTCATTATAAAGAGAGAAAAATTAGTCTTTTAACTGCATTTAGTGCAACATAGTACACCAAATACTGAGTAAAAATCATTGTATTGACAGTTTTTGATAGTATTTTGTCAAATGTAGCCCTTTTTTTCTCTGTTCCAACTGATCAGATAACTGAAAAAATATATATTGTGTTGGGCTTTGTGAAAATTTCTATATCTCAGTATCTCAGTATTTTATTTTAGCCATATCACCCACCCCTACCTAATTCCATCTTGTAATAACATTTCTCATGTCCTGATCATATCTGGATATCATTGCTGTCCAAGGGCAAAAAGAAAGGGTCTCCAAAATGGTAACTTTATAGGAGAGAGAAAAAGCGTTCCTTAATGCAAATTAATGTAGAGAAATTTTATTCTAAGCAATTTCATTTCTATAGGTCCAATTATCATAAAAATTTCACACAGTGCAAATGGCAGCAGCTGTGCTCAAAAGAAGTAGAAAAAATGAAAATCTTGAGATATTTATCTGTTTGTTTTTGAATAGTGACGATAAACTTTGGCCAGTTTCCGTTTACACTTTTTACTAAAAAGCGCCCCCAGCGTGACCAGATGAGATCCCATTTTACTGTTCCCGCAAAAAAGCACCTGAACATGTGCATCCCTTCCATTATGCTTTGTTTACTCCAGCCTCATGTATCCTCCATCTTTCATTTCCTTTTTTATCCTTTCACCTGCTAGTCAGCACTGGGAAGATGCATTTCCACTAACCTAACTGTAAACAGACACAGAAAACACATTCTATTTACACTCATGATAAATGTTGTCAAGATCCACCTGACCACCTCTAACTGAGGTTTGAGTGATATGATCATAATCCAATGTGCCGTGGAGGTCTTTACACCTAGCTTTCACAATGAACTCCAAACAGTAAGGCCCAAAATCTTGATGTCATGCACATATGGATGCTACAGATTATGTTCATCATTTCTGATGTTTCTTTTTTATAAATCAATGCTCAAACTTCAAGATGCACGTTTAAAAACAGAAACAAAAGAAATCCCAAAAATGTAACCTAGAATCCATACGCCTGAACGAAAGGGAGTCGGATTCTGTGGATGAGGTGGAATTCAGCACAACACCTGTCTAAAATAGCTGTTTTCAGCTACACAGTAGAGTTTCGCTCATTTTTAAAGCTCACAGCAAAGCATACTGTGCGCTAAAACACATCAACAAGTCTGCATGACCTTAATGAAGACTGAATGCGGTTTGAGTGGGTTATGAGAAGTTTTGGGGATTTGTTTATGAAAAAGATTTGTGTGCTTATTGACTTCTAGTGTTTGCCTTGTTGGTCTAGCAGTAAACTAAAAGCCCACCAAGCAAGTCTTGGCTGATCAACTACACCTGGTGTAATTGGAAATTTGTGCAAATCTGATTTTTCACCAAACCAATCCCTTTATAAAAATGAGGAGAATGCTCAGGAATTTTGATCTCTTTCTCTGCCTTCGAAAAATGTAGAATTATTCATGATAAAGCTATTAGGCGAAGGTCATTTCCAAGCCATCTGCCTCATCCTTGCACAGCTCGAGGCGCTAGAAGAGGCTGAGGAAATTGGCACTTTAGAGTCATTTTAATGATAAATTAAGACTGATTCACTGACGCTGTTCTCCATTTCTGCATTCTGACCTTTCTTCACAAGGCTTGGTCAGCGTCAGGGCACGCAAAGGTGTGTCCTACAACAAAAGGTGGTGAGGCAGCTTCTGAGCTTTGAATGCTCTTCTGCCTTGGGCATCCATGAAATTGAAAACTTGTTTTAGGGGGGCTGACAAACAGAAAGAAAAGTGGGATATTCTGACAGGAGAACAAGGAAAGTAGGAATTACAAAAAATGGGTCAGAAGGAACAATATCTAGTGCTCTTTCTACACAAGAAAATAGTTCTAGGACACAGGTGGGGACTGCTTGTGCCCATTTCATTTTAGGGCCTGGAAAGTGCAGAAGCTTTCAGATGAGAAAGCCTTTGGTGAAGGTTTTCTTTCCACCCCACAAACACTAATGTTAGCTGTAGCCTATGTGAATTCAGACACCCCAGAGACGTGGAAAACTACATCTACTGTCTAAACACCTTCACTTCAGACACCACCACTGGTGGAATAATGAGCCTGCATTCCATAGAAGCCTACTTTAATTGAAGGCTCATATGGAAAATAAGATTTTTTTTTAAAGTGTGTGATATTAACATTAAAATGTATTGCTCAATGCCCAGGTGGTACAGACCACATACTGAAAATGAGCTGTAAAAGCCTGCTTTGAATTCACTGTTCTGTGACGTCACGATGTACTTATATATATTTGCATTTTCAGCCTATTGCAGTTTAGCAACGCCCGTCTACGCTGAAGTTATAAGGAGTGTTTCAGGCCTGATTTCTTTTTGAATGCGCCACAGTTGAGGCCGGCCAGGTCATTAGTACCATTAGTAACATCAGTTTTAAAAGCAGAAGAGCAAAAATTAATTCTATGGAATAAACAGAGGTTGGAAAATGATCATGTAAATGACTCATGAGTTTTTATGGCGAATAAAACCACACCGTCATGCCCTCAGGTGGGAAACACAAGAAAAATGTGAAATATTGGCGCTTTCGTGTTCAGCTATAGGAATTTACCTTTCTCAGTGGTGACGGTGGCTGAGGGGGTGCTTTTCACCGTCCACGAGTTGTTGTTGGTGGTAGTAGAATCCTTTTTAGCCGGTGTGGTTGAGTTTTCAGGTGGAGGAGATGTAAAAGTAGGTTTAGCTGGAGTAAGTGACCCCGTGGAGAGTGTGGTGGTGTCGGCTAACCCTACGTCCCTGCCGTTAACTGTTGTTGGAGCCATTGTTTTGGGTGAAGGAGCGAAGGTGGTTGTCACCAAAGCAGCAGAAGACAGCAGCTGGTTGGTTTGACCAGCAGTCCTGCTCTCCTTTGTTGTGATAAATGGAGCTGTGGAGGTGAAAAGTGCTAACTCGGGGTCCTCCCCTGGTAAGTAATTGGGGATGGCCGTGCCTCCACCGAGCGGCTCCAGCCGGTTCTCCACAGCAGCACGCGGGTCCCTCGCGACCGTGAACTCGTTTCCTTGAGCCAAAGCGACCGCGACCAAGAGGAACTCCAAAACTGGAAACAGTGGCATTCCGTAAAGCGCGCAAATCATCTTGGTTTCCCTTCAGCTCCCCATGTGAAGCGGTAACAAGTATTTCCACCGTGTTTTTATTCGTTGGAAAGCTTCAGCCTCGCTCCGGCTCGCGGTTCGAAGGACGCCGCGTTACTAAGCTGTTGTTTCACTCTAACTGACAGTTCTCACCCTCATCTACTACAGACGCTCCCCCTCCAGCCAATCAGGAGGCAGGGTTTTCGCAGACTGACGCTATGAAAGACCAATTAGAGGACGCGGAGGCGGGGCTTTGGAAACGGCTCTCTTAACAAAGTCTCAGTGTAAAGGATTACAGTACTTTATTGAACAGGGAAGGCAGTGGAATTATTTGACATTAATGTCTGGCAAAGAGTTGATATTAAAAATAATATATGTCATTTTATGTATTTAGCATTAATTTGGAACATGCTTGCCTGGGTTCTACACTCTTAAAAAGACGATTCTTCAAGGGTTCTTCAGTAAATAAGTTCTATAGAATCATGAACACTCAAAGAACCATTTCTAAAAAGCCCAAAAAAGGGTTCTGCAAGCTAGAAGAAGCCCTCTTGGGGCTATATAGGGTCATATACAACACATTTTCCATCAGTCTGAAGAACCATTTCACCATGCAAGTATTATGCACGCAAAGGGTTCATTGAATGTTCATGGTTCTATAGAACCATTCTCTTTATAAAAGAACCCTTGAAGAACCATCATTTTCAAGATTGTACAGGTCTGTGGCACATTCTGGGCCGTTTCCTAGACAGGGATCAAGCCTAATCTCGGACTGAATTGCAGTGTTGAAGGTGGATCACCATTGGAAATTATTTTTAGCCCAGGACTAGACTTAAACCATGTCTGGGAAACCGGCCTGAGTCTTTGTGGAACGGTGGTGAACGTAGCAACCGCTTAGCGCCATCATGTGGAATACGAGTTTTGAACAAACAAAGGGGGGAGAAAGGGATGAAAACTTGGTCAAACTGCATTTAAGACGTTTTGAATATTGTAAGAAGAACATTGATGGGAACGTCTTGAAAAACATACCACTTTTAAATTACAAATTCAAGAGGTCTTGCTGAAAAATAGTCTTGACCGAGTAACTTTAATTTGCAAAAAAAGTTGATTTTTGTGAGCGGCGGAGCTGCTGGTGCCATCGTGGATCATCACCGCCCTCTAGTGGCAAAGAGGCTTCAGTTTCACTCTAGATCTGTTCTCTCACAAATGAAGTGCTGGAGTGCTAGAACGGTTTGTGAAAAAGTAAAATGTTCTCTCTATCTATCCATATTCAAGTTTTGGAGGGCAATACATTTGTGAAATGTAAATAAAGCATGTTTGATTTTTTTATGTAAAACAAATAATGATAATAGAAAATAATTAGAAAATAGAAAAGAAAATGACTGATAATCAAAAAAAAGTTTGGAATAGTTAATCTATGGTTTTTCCTTGAAGGGCCTTAACTGCTGAGATATAAAGTCATGTAGATGATTTGATGTGCAATGTGCCATTCTAGAGAACCAAATGTCCAACATGTTTAATGCCTCTAAAAGCTCCCATTACTGCTGACTAGCAGGTGAGAAGAGACTATTACTAATAAACTGCCAGATGATTTTGCTTGCGGGGTCCCCTGGTGGCTCGGGCCCCTGGAAACGTGCTCCTAATCCTATTGGATGATCCAGGCCTGCATTCTCCTGCAGGGTTTTCTGGTAGAGAGCAGAATTCATGGTTCTGTCAATTCTATCAAGTCACCCAGGCCCTAAAGCAGCAAAGCATCCACACAACATCACACTACCACCACCATGTTTAACCGTCCATAGACCATTAGTCCAAAAAGCTTGATTTAGAGACTGTAGCCCAAGCTGTTGATGCATCAGCCATCCTCTAGCCCTTCGCCAGTGGTCAATTTCTGACCACATATTTGCTTGGCTGGATATTTTTGGGTAGTGGACCACTCTTAAACTAGCAGTGCTACTGACCTGTGTAAAAACCCCAGGAACACTGCTATGTCTGATACCCTTGTACCAACGCTCTTCCACAGCACTACCTTGAATACTACCACATCAGGGTCACTGCTGTGTTGAGAATGCCCACAACCCAAATAATATCTGATGAGCTGTGGTCAGAAACAGATCAATGGCGAATAGAGAAGGGGACAGCTGATGGATTATGCTGTAAGAGATGAGCTACAGTGTAAACTTGCACACCTATATAGTGACCTAAGAGGGTGGAGCTCATAAAGTGGAAGGTAGGTGTTTGGAATTTAATACAGTGGACAGTGAGTATGGATAGGCAGTCTGATAATATGTTATTGTTATCAACAGGCATGTGCACAGATAGACCCTTGCAGAGGCTGGAGCCCCTACTATTTTGCACCTCAGACATCAAAAGAACCCTCTCGGCCATCTAAATTGTGTTTTATATGGCCATTCTTAAAGATAGGAATAGAGCTGGTGGGTTGCCTCGGGTTCCACAAGCTTCATTACTCTTTGGTGTCCACTTTAATGCAGTACAGACCACATGTGGAGGCTTCACCTGAGTGACTCCAACCTGTCACAGATGCATGCATCAGCACAGTGCAGGAAAGCCCACCAATAAAGCAGTGATAATCACGTTAAGAAAGTTTCACTTTACATAACATGATTATTTTGAACAACCAAACATAATGTGGGCAGTAAGTATGCAGGAAATAATTCACTAGTAAGTAGAGGGCAAAGGTAACACTTTACCATAGGGTACTGTTCATAAGGCTACATAAGCTTGTCATGACAACTGGCATAGCTCAACATAAATGTTTATAAATGTTTATTCCAGTAGGCATCATCTGTCATAAAGGCTACTTTAGCCAACTTTGATCAAAACTGGCAAATGTAACCTTTATAGCGAATTATGCCTATTGGAATAAGCATTTATAAATATTTATATAGGATTATGTCCAGTGTCATGATAAGCTTATATAGGTGTCATAAAGCCTCATGACCAGCACCCTACAGTAAAGTATTACCACAAAGAGTAGCATTATGGCCTACTATTCAGCAGATTTGGGTTTAAAATCCTGTTTTAGGTGCAATGCTGTTATTTTAGGCCACCTTGTGAAGAACTCTGAACACTAGGTCTGGTTTCCTCTGACACATGATGAGTGTCTGTCTTGAAAAGAGTGATGCTGCAAATATAATTTAACTACTATTCAAAGTCATGTTGTGAACGCTATGGCGAAGTCAGAACTGAAAGTCTGACGGATGTCGCAACTATAACTAATGGATTGCATGTAGCGTTTCACAGCCATTGCTGGTGAATTTTGTATGAATTCCAACTTGTTTACAAACCTCATTAAAGTTAAACATTGTAATACGCTCCCGAGTGGCGCAACCGTCTAAGCGTTGGCCCTCGCTCTCTCTGGATGGCCCCTCCTTCTCCCCCCATCACTCAGCGCGATGCTAGTCAGCGCAGGCGTCTGTTAGCTGACGTAACAGATCTGGCGGTTGGCGCTTTCCTCCGAGCGCGTTCGGCTGTCCAGTGATGTTGCGTGAGCGGCAGCTCGAAAAGTAGCGGTGTTTGGCTTCACAGGTCTCGGAGGAAGCCTGTGTTAGCATTCGCCCTCCTAGCGTTGATAGCATCGTGAGATTGGGGGAGTCCTAACTAGCGGGTGGAATTTGAGACGACTAAATTGGGGAGAAAATCGGGTAAAAAAAATAATAATAAAAATAAAATAAAAATAAAATAAACATTGTAATACATATCACACACTATCTGGGCAAAAGTATGTGGACACCTCTCCTAAATATTTTCCTGTTTTTCGGCCATACCTATTGCTAACAGATGTATAAAATCAAGAACTTTGCCATGCAATCTTATTAGACAAACACTGGCAATAGAACGGGTCATACCGAAAAGCTCCGTGACTTTAAACGTGGTACTGTCATAGAATGCTACCTTTGCCACAAGTCTGTCTGCCCTGGCCAACTATTAGTGTGGGAAGGATTATGGTCTGGGACTGGTTTTCAGGGCTAGGCCACTTAGTTCCAGTGAAGGGTAATGTTAATGCTACAGCAACAACATTTCAGACAATTATATGCTTCCAACTTTGAGGCTTTCCTTTTCCACCATGACTGTGCTCCTGTGCACAAAGTGGGGCCGTAAAGACATGGTTTGACGAGTTTGGTGTGGAGGAATTTCAGTGGCTGCACAGAGTCCTGATCTCAACCCCACTAAACAACTTTGGGATGAACTGGAACATTGTGAGTCAGGCCTTCTCATTCAACATCAATTGCCAGACATCACAAGTACTCCTTTGACTGAATGGACACAAATACCCACAGACACACTCCAGAATCTTGTGGAAAGTCTTCCCAGAAGAGTGGATGCCATTATCGCACAAAGAAGGGCCAACCCCATATTAATATCCATAGTTTTGGAATGGGATGTCCAAAAAGCTCATATAGGTGTGATGGTCACGGGTCCACATACTTTTGACCATACAGTGTATATATAGTAAAAATGTCTTCAAGTATCTTGCTGTTCTATTTTTGCTGTATCACCCAATCTTAATGGAGTGTGTACGAGATACATTTGAAATACATTTTGTTGAGATATATATTTTGTTGATTTTTGAAGTGAAAAAGTAAACAAAACTTCTCCAGCCAACTATGCACAGTTACTTTGTATTTGATTAACTTTAAACAGAAAAAAATAAAATAGTAATTGAGGCTTTTGCAAGAGTTTGGACACCCGTTCAGTTGTAAAGTCTCAGAACCTAATGAACTCATATAGCCTTACTTGGCTGGTTAGGACCATGGATGTGGAGACACACTTGGACTCCATTTCCCAGAATCCTCTGGAAGATCACATAACGCATGTGACACCTGACCTTCCCTCACACTCCAATCAGCACTCACAGTCACCGGAATACTAACTCTGTACACCTGTCTTGTTGTCATATGACCTATATAGTTTAGTATATAAGTCCAGGTTTTAGCATAGACTAGTTGCGAGGAGTTGCATCTTTCTAGATCTACTGAGCGTTCTTCTGTGTGTATTAGCGTTCCTGTGTATGACGATATGTTGCCTGTTTATCGACTCTGCCTTTTGCCTGACCCTTTTTGGACTTACTGCCTGTTATGTTTGTCTTTTTGTGCTGGATGTTTTTTTAGATTTGACCTACGCCGGTTTAT